CAGCTAGCTCACTGGGACCTCAAAGACAAAATTACAGTAGACAGTATGGATAGTTAAGGCAAAGTGTGCCTTCAGAGCTTTCAGCCACACCACATTGGCAGGAGAGTCTTCTGGTCCTTTCTTTACCCAGAGAATGATTCAAAACCCCCAATATTCTTGTATCTGAAAGGAGTCACCCTAGCCACACAGTAAAACCCTGTCTGAAAAAAAACAAACAAAAAAGTCTACAGTCCAATGCCATTAAATATATGACAAGAGGCAAAAAAAAGGATTCTGATTAATATTCCACAATTCTGTTGACCTACATTTCTTTTGTTCTGGTTTTTGTTGTTTTTAAAAAAAAATTTTTTTTAATTTTATTTTATGTGCATAAGTGTTATGCCTGCATGTATGTGAGTGCAACCACGTCATGCAGTGCCCACAGAGGACAGAGAGCTTCAGATCCCCTGGAACTGGAGTTGCAGATGGTTGTTAGCCACCATGTAGGTGCTGGGATTCGAACCCAGCTCTTCTGCAAGAGCAGCCAGTGCTTTTACCCACTGAGCCATCTCTCCAGCCCAGTTGTTGTTTTTAAGATGAGGTCCCAGACTGGCCTTGAACTCACTATATGTAGCTGAGGATGACCTTGATCCTCTGATTCCCTTGCCTCCACCTCCTCAGTCCCAGAACTATAGAAATCCAACACTATGCCCAGTTATGTGCAGTGCTGGGGACAGACCTTGGGTTTCCTGCATACTAGACGCATGCTGCCAACTGAGCCACATCCCCATCTCCACATTTGTTTCTAACTGAATACAATTTCAAGAAATAGTGCTGAAATATCTTTTATTCTAGTACACTGAGTTCACCACTGTAATGTTAAAGCATGCATATTCACAAATTTAGCAGATATTGCCAATAGTTCAAATATTTCTTCACTAAACTCTGCTGCTAGCATTAGACATCCTTATAAACTGTACCTTTTTTTGGGGGGGGTCATTTTGAGACAGGGTCTCTCTATAGCCCCAGCTGGACTGGAATTCCCTATGTAGGCCAGTCTTGAACTCACAGAGATCCACCTATCTCTGCCTCTGCTGGGATTAAAGGCATGCACCACCATGCCCAGTCAGCACCCCATCAATTTTTATTTATTTATGTGTATGAGTGTTTTGCCTGCATGTAAGTGTACCCATGTCATGCAAAGCCAGACATGGCCATAAATGTCAAAAGAGGCATCAGATCTCCTGGAACTGGAGTTAGGGACAGTTGTTAGTTGCCACTTAGGCACTGGAAACTGAACCTGTGTCCCCTGCAAGAGCAACCAGTGTTCCCAACTGCTGAGCCATCTCTCTAGCCCTCCATCAATTTTTAATCTCTATCCAGCTAGCTCACTGGGACCCCAAAGAGGAAACAGTAGACAGTATGGATAGTGTTAAGGCAAAGTGTGCCTTGAGAGCTTTCAGCCACACCACATTGCCAGGGGAGTCTTCTGGTCCTTTACCCACAGAATGATTCCAAACCCCAACATACTGGTATCTGGAAGGAGTCACACAGGACTGGTTTCTCCTGTAACTAGAACTAGAACATTCCCCCAGGGAAACTGAGTCCTAGTTTGAACAGGGGAAACCCAAGGTAGACTGAAAACCACTCAAACAGGCCTTGACTGTTTATGAACATATAAACACTTGCCAAGACTGATAATTAACACAGGTGAGTTTTCTGTCCTGCTTTTCTGTTGTTATGGTTGTTGTCTATCTAGAGAGTGACTCACTGTAGCCTTGGGTAGCCTGGAACTTGCTGTATAGACCAAACTGGCCTCAAACTTACAGTGATCCTTCTGCTTCTGACTTCACCTCCCAACTGCTGCAGTTAGAGTTGTGCACCATCAAAGAAAATTTCTGAAATTACTGTCAAACCAGGGATTAGCCCTTGAGGCACTCCTCTTCTCGCTGTAGAAATATGATCAGTCTATGTTTGTAATGCCGTCCTTGCCTCTTTTTCAACTTGGTTACTCCTCTGCCCTGTCATTTGGTCTCAGCTTAAACAGACCTCACTTTTCTAGGGGATGAATATGATCAAAGTACATTATATACATGACTTTTTTTGTCTTTTTGAGACGGTTTCCTTGTAGCCCCAGCTGGCCTGGAACTGGCTATGTAGACCAAGATGGCTTCGAATTCACAAAGATCCGCCTGCCTCTGCCTCCTGAATGTTTTAAAATGTCATAATGAAACTCATTATTTTGTACAATAAAGATATGCTAATAAAAAGATATTCTGGAGCCATTAAAAAAAAGAAGGAAGAAAAACACAGCTGCACCTGGTAGCACAGCCTATAAGCCCAGGTACTCTGGAGGCTGATATAGGAGGATCATAAACCCAAGGCCTGCCTGGACTACAGAGGAAGGCAAGGGTAGCCTGGGCCATTCAGTGAGTCTGTGGCCCCACATGATGAGAGAACTGACTCCTGTGCATTGTCCTCCTCCACTCACACACCTGGCACATGTGCACAAAGACATACACAGATAATAAATAAAATGTAATTAAAAATTGTTTTAAAGCCCATCGTAGTGGTGCACACTTGGAGGCAGAGGCAGGCGGGAGTTCAAGGCCAACCTGTTCTACATAGCATGTTCCAGGTCACCTGGGAGGTAGAGGCAGGTGGATCTCTGTGAGACTGCAGCCAGCCTGGTCTACATAGCGAGTTCCAGGCCAACTGGGGCTACAGGGAGACTCTGTCTCAAAAAGATCAAAAAAAAAAAAAGTTTTAAGTAAAAAGAGATTGGGTTTGGTTTATACTGAGTTCAGTATTGTATAACTGTATTAATTCAACAGTGAACCTAAAAATTTTATAGCCACTTTTGAAAGAGATGTATCTTTGTTATGGAAACTGCTATTGGGTATGTTAAAGCTGTAATGAAATGCTTCTTCTAAAAAATAAAAAAATATACAATAAAAATAAAGAATAAATAAAAATAAAAAAATTTTTTAAAAAAGAGATTGGGTATGCAACTCAGTGGTAGAGCACTTATTCAGCATACCCAAGGATCTAGGATCAATGCCCAATCTTTCTCTCTCTCTCTCTCTCTCTCTCTCTCTCTCTCTCTCTCTCACACACACACACACACACACACACACACACGCACGCCCTCATTTTCTTACCTTCACATGCTATCATATACCAGTAGAGTATATAATACTTCCAAAAACGCTGACCAATTTTGTAATAACACACTAACACTGTACCTAGAAGAACAGGCTTAGGCTGAATTACTTCACTATCTCCCACTTCTTTTATAGTGCTGAGGATGAAAATTTGAGTTTCACATTACCCTAGGCAACTTGCTAGCTCTACCACTTCACTCAATCAGGCATTCAAGCATCAATTTTCAGAAAATAAAAGAAATGGAAAAAAACATTCAAACATACCATGCAAATACAAACAAATATCAAAATGTGTAATAGGCTCAAAGAATGCATGACTCTTCAAAATGTCAGTATAACTAGGGCTGAAAAGATGGTTCAGTACTTAAGAGCATTGGCTATTCTTGCAGAAGACCTGGGTTCGACCCAAATGGCAACTAAGAACTATCCCTAACTCCAGTTGCAGGGGATCAGACACCCTCTTCTGTCTTCCTTAGGCATTGCATGATACAGGTGCACTTACACAGTCAGTCAATATACTCATACACATAAAATACTTTAAAAAAATAATTTTCGTTATATTGATAACAAAAAACAGCAACTACTCTAGGTTCGAAGATCTTAAAATACATCTGAAAATTGCAATGTAAGAACTGTGAAGAGCAGCTGGAGAGACGGCTCACTAGTTAGCACATACTGCTCTTCCAGAGGACCAGAATTCAGTTCCCAGCATCCAGTCAGGTGGCTCACAACCACCTGTAATTCCAGCTCCAGGGCACCCAACACCATCTTCTGACCTCCAACAGCAGTGCTCATGTGCACAAATCCACACATAGACACATATTGCATACACATCATTTTAAAAAATTAAGTAAAATAAAATATTAAAAAACAAAAAAGAACTCTGAAGAGGTCTTGGGCTTACAGTTCAGTGATAGAGTTTGGTTAGCATGCACAAAACCCTAGGCTCACTTTTCAGTACCACAAAAAAAAAAAACTTTGAAGAAGAGATCTTAGACCTAAAACACCGAAAAGCTTATTTCACAACAATGTGAAGAATTCTAATTTTACAGAAAGATTATTAGGTAGCATTATTGTTTTTAATTCTCTTGGTTACTATTAGAGTTTTACTGGGTCAATATGTCCATCTTCAGAAGATGCAATTCCCAATTACATAATGTATTATGCCTAAACCTGGCATGGTGTCACACGCCCTCAATCCCAGCTGTTGGGGGGGCAGACAGAAACATCTTGATTGAGGCCAGCTTGGTCTACATAGTGAGTTCCAGGCCAGTTAGGGCTAGGTAGTGAGACCCTGTCTCAAAAAATAAAAGATATCATGGCTGCAAATTCTCAAACATTTCACCATAAAAGGTATTTTATTTTTCCTTGGAAAAGTAGTCAGTTCAACTAGTACTAGTCTAACAAAGCCTCCATTTTTTTCCTCCTGAAGGGCGGGTTTTAAAGTGTGCAAGGAGGCAAAGGCCTGCACCGTTCAGACAATAGCTAACTATTTAGGTTAGGGGTGTAGCTCTGTAGGGGAAGACTGCTTAGCATCATGAGGCTTGGAGTCCCATTCCCAGCATCAAAAAAAGACAGCAACTTAGTATCCTTACCTTTCTTCCAACGGAAAGCCCTGTTTGGGATCTATGTACGTTTTCTATTTGTATGCAGATAAATGCACCCCGCAGAAGACTGTAAAAAAGTTATCTTCTACCAGAATGCAAAGTATCTCAGGCGAATAAAGGATGGCCCAAGAGTGCGAAATTTTAGGATGAAATATTTGTTTACACATACACACACACACACACACACACACACACACAAAACCAAAAAAAAAAAAAAAAAATTAAAGAGGAAATGGCTCTCGTCACCCACCTTTCAGTCAATGTTCGGCTGAAGGAGCCAGAATCGCGGGGTTCTAGAATGGACCTCGTCAATGTGATGCCAATCAATGGCGGCAAGTCTATTCTGGTTAAAAAAAAAAAAATCAAATAAACACAAGTTCATCAAGGTTACTTCAATGAGGTTTTGGAAGAAGGCTGGATGAAAACACCTCCTGGCGGCCGCGGCACCTGAAGGATGCGGCGCGCTAGTGGCCCGAAGAGGACGCGCGTCCCCAGGGCTGCCGCGATCAATGGCGGCTCTGCGGAGGCCCCGAGGCCCGCCTCGTCCTCATCCCCACCGCATCCCCCGCCGTAACGGCATCCCCTCACAGAATCCTCACCGATGCCAGGGTAAGAAACCGACCACCGACGAGAACGCCTCCGGGATCAGAGAAGAAAAAAAAAAAGGAGGGGGGGGAAGAGAAAGGCCCTGTTTGTGACGTCACTTCCGCTTCCGGCTCCAGGCTCTCCGCCACGTTGGAGCTTCTCAAACCCGAAAGAAAAACTCGTTTATTTTCGTATCCCGAGAGGTGTAACCTCCTTCGGGTGGGCTGGTGAGGGGAGACTACTCTGAAAAAGAGCCAAGGTCGAGGTCAGAAGCCGGGCGCCGAGAAGGGCGGGAGAGGCCACAGGCGGGGCCGCAGGCGGAGCCAGCTCCGCGCTTGCGCAGGATGATGGCGGACCGGTGGGGTGAGGGTGGGGGTGGAGACGCCCCCGACGGGATGCTGCTGACAAAAACTTTTCTCCTTGCCTCTCCCGCGCCCTCCGAGCCCCTCTTAAGAACGCTTAGCTATGTTGCCCAATCCGCCAACTCAGTAAAAATGATCCGTCTTTCCCATTCAGGCACTCTTGTCTTCAGATACCTTTATTTCGACATTTCTTTGTGTGCATTGCTGGGCCCAGTGCTGAAACCTCCGTCTTGATTCTGCTGTTTTCAGAATGATTTTTTTTTTTTTTTTTTTTTTTTTCTCTTCTGGGGCTGGGGCTGTAGCTCAGTTGGTGGAGTGCTTGCCTAGCATGTATGAAGCCCTGGGTTCCATCCCCCAGCAACAAATAAACAGGGTGTGTTGGTGCATGTCTGTGATCCCATCACTGGGGAGGTGGAGAACAGGAGTTCAAAGGCCAGCCTCCACTACCAAGTAGGTTCGAGGCCAGCTTGGGCTACATGAAACCCTGTCTCCAAAAATATAAAATAAAGGTTGGTTCCTGTTTTTGATTCATTGTGTAGTCGGGTGTGTGTGTGTGTGTGTGTGTGTGTGTGTGTGTGTGTTTCTCCTTTTTTGTTGTTTTGGTTTTTTGTTTTGGTCTTTTTTGAGACAGGGTCTTCCTGTAGCATCAGCTGGCCTGGAATTCACTATGTAGACAGGCTGGATCTCACAGACATCCACCTGCCTCTGCCTCTGCCTCCCAAGTGCTGGTACTAAAGGTGTGCATCACGGCACCCAGCTGTGTTTCCCTTTTGAGTCTCCATCTCATGTAGCCCAGTCTGGCCTCAAACTCCTTATGTATGCAAAGGTGACCTTGAACTTCTGAGCCTCCTGCCTCAGAGTGCTGGGATGACAGGCATGCCCAAGCTGGAATTGAACCCAGGGCTTGATGTATGCTAGGCAAGCTCTCTACCTACTGAGCTACATCCCCCACCCAAATGTGTAGTTTTCTATTTATTGGAATATACCAAATGAACCAGAGTCTCTCCTTTACTGCAGAACAACAACCAATAACATGCAGTCTTCAGTTGTGCCCCAATAGTTCTCAAGTTTCTTTTCTCTGGGAATCATAATGGGCTTTCATTGGTTGGCCTTTGTGGAGTTAAGATTATTGTGACACTGATTTACTGGCAGGTTTTCCTCAAAAATTGTTCATTAAGGTTAAGGCTATAGTTTGGTGGTAGAGTGCTTGCCTAGCACACTTAAGTCTCTGGGTTCAAACTCCACTACTGGAAATTTTAAGAGATGTTTTTCAGGGGCCAAGTATGGTGCCTTTAGCCCCAGCACTCAGGAGGCAGAGGCAGGTGGATCTCTGTGAGAACAAGGCCAGCCAAGTCTACACAGGATGTGCCAGGCTAGCTGGGGGTACAGGGAGACCCGTCTCAAAAAAAAAAAAAAGAAAAAAATTATTCAGGGGGGCTAGAAAGATGGTTCAGCAATTAAGAAAACTAGCGGCTATTTCAGAGGACCAGAGATTGGTTCCCTGCACTCACATCGGTGGCTCAAGCTATGTGTAACTCCAGCTCCAGGAGATCTGACACCCTCTTCTCCTCAGGCACAGACACATAAATAAACACTAAAACTTTTTTTTTTTTTTTAAGTAATGCTGAGTTTGGAGAGATGGCTCAGCAGTTATAGCCCTGGCTGCTCTTGCAGAGGACCAATGTTCAGTTCCCAGCATCCAGATGGTGGCTAGGAACCATCCACAACATAACTTCAGTTCCTGGAGATCCAACACCCTTTCTGGCCTCCATGGACATGGCACACAGCTGGTGCACTTACATGCATGCAGGTAAAACACTAATAAAATTTTTTTAATTTTTATTTTTATTTTATGTGTATGAGTGTATTATCTGCACCTCTGTCATGCAATGCTGATGGAAGTCAGAAGAGGGCATCAGTTGTCTTGGAACTAGAGTTAAGGATGGTTGTTAGCCACCATGTGAGTGTTGGGAATCCAATTTGGGTCCTCTACAAGAGCAGCCAGTGCTCTTAACCACTGACCCATCTCTTCAGACCCCCAAAATATTTTTTTTTTAAGTAAAGGTGGTGGTAGATGCCTTTAATCTCAGCCGTTGGATAGCAGAGCAGGTGGATCACTGAGATCCAGGCCACCCTGGTCTACAATAGGGAGTTCCAGGCCAGCTGGCAGTACAGGAAGACCCTGTCTCAGAAAATAAAACAATAATAATAATAATATTAATAATGCTATGATTAGGGCTGGAGAGACGGCTCAGAAGTTAAAAGCACTGGTTGCTCTTGCAGAGACCCAGGTTTAATTCCTAGCACCCACATGGCAGCTAACAACCCTCCTTAACTCCAGTTCCAGGGGATCTAACACCTTCTGACCTCTAAGGGCATTGCATGGCACAGATGCACCTACCTACATGCAGACAGTACACTCATAGAATAAAAATAAAATGTTTTAAAACTAAAAAATAATGCTATGATAATTCATATTTTTGTGTATATGTATATTTGTCTCTGTGTGTATACCATGTGTGTATGGGTGCCTGAGAAAGTCAGAAGAGGGGTCAGATCCCCTGTAGCTGGACTTACAGGCAGTTGTCAGCCACCCAACATGAGGGCTGGGAACCAAACATGGATCCTCTGGAAAAGCAAAAAGTGCTCTTGACCACTGAGCCATCTGTCCAGCCCCATAATTCATATATATTTTGTGTTTAATACAGATTGTCATTTCTCTGGAGTACCTAGAAATGGACTTGCTGGATTCATGTAGTAGCTATACATTTAAGGATGTATAAACTGGCTGGGGATGTAGTTTGGTGGAGTGCTTGCCTAACACACACTAAGCCCTGGGTTCCATCTGCAGTGCATAAACTGGGAGTGGTAATATACAACTGTCATCCCAGTATTCAGAAGGTAAAAGAGGCTGAGGAGTCCTTGCAAGGCCAGCCTCGGAACATACAGAGTTTTGCAGCATGGGCTACACAGAACCACAAGGTCAGGCATGGTTGTGTACGCCTTTGATCCCAGCAGTTGAGAGGCTGTGGCAGGTGGATCTCTGTGAGTTCAAGGCCAACCTGCTCTACATAATGAGTTCCAGGCCATCTGGAGCTATAGGGAGACCCTGTCTCAAAACAAAAAACAGAGCAGGGGCCTGGAGAGATGGCTCAGTACTGGTGCTCTTGCAGAGGACCTGAGTTCAGTTCCCAGCACCCACATGGCAGCTAACAACCCTCTGTAGCTCCAGTTCCAAGAGATTCCATGTCATCTTCTGGCTTCTGTGGGCATTGCATGGACGTGGTGCACTTACATACATGCAGGCAAAACACTCATACACATAAAATAAAAAATCTTTAAAAAGCAAATATGTTTTTCAAAGTGCTTGCATCATTCTATGTTCCCTGCAGAAGTATATGAGGATTCTAGTTTCTCCACATCCTGCTAACACTCATTATAGCCTGTCTTTTTCTTTTCCCCCATTCAGTAGTACAAGGTAATACCTCACTGATTGTGATGCACTTTCCCTTATGACCTGTGAGTTCAGCATCTCTGCATGTGCTTGTTGACCATCTGCAGAATTGTTTGGAAGAAATAACTGTGAAATCCTTTGTCCATTTTAAGATTGGATTATCAGGCTAGAGAGATGGTTCCATAGAGTGCATACTGCTCTTCCAGAAGACCCAAGTTCTGTTCCCAGCACCCACATCAAGCAGCTCACAACTGCCTTCAACTCCAGATCTGAGGGCCTCCATGGGCAATTCACTCGTGCACACACCCACACACAGACACACATATGTGCACATAATTAAAAATAGGTCAGGCCTTTGTCTCAAAAATAAGAATAATAATATGGAGAAGTGATTGAGGAAGACATCCCAAAATCAACCTGTGACATTCACACTTACACAGGCACACACACACACACACACACACACACACACACAAAACAACAAAAAACTTGCTGGAGAGCTGGCTCAGGGCTTAAGTGCTCTGACTGCTCTTGCAGAGGGCCTGGGTTCAATTCCCAACACCCATATGGCAGATAACAACTGTCTGTAACTCTAACATAAACATACATATAAAATATACACATAAAATAAAAATAAACAGAAAAATCACTGAAGAAAATTGAAGGAAAATCTAGTAGAGGATACTAAAAGTAATAAAGATAATTGATGTCTTCAGTGTTTATTGTTTCGTTTTGTGTTTTTGGCAGTGCTGGGGATCAAAACCAGGACCTTACACATGCTAAACTTGTGTTCTGTCACTGAGCTGCACTCCCAGTCCCACCCAATTAAAAAAAAAAATTTTAATATTCTATTTTTATGTGTGTGAGTGCACCCATGTTGTGCAATGCCACAGAGATCAGAAGAGGGCTTCGGATTCCCCTGGAACTGGAGTTAAGGACGACAGTTCGCAGCCGTCACGTGGGTGCTGGGAATCGAACCTAGGTCCTCTGCAAGAGCAGTCAGTGCTCTTAACCACTGAGCCATCTCTCCAGCCCCTTAAAATTTATTTTTATTGTATGAGTGGTTTGCCTGTATGTATGTAAGTACACTTCGTGTGTGCAATGCCTGCAGGGGCCAGTGGAGCACATTGGAGCCCTTGTAACTGGAGTTGCTGATGGTTGTAGGCCACCACGTGGGTGCTGGGAGCTGAACCTGGTTCCTCTGCAAGAGTAGCCAGTGCTCCTAACTGCTGAGCCAGCTCTCAAGCCCCCATCTTTATTTATTTTTTGGTATTGGAGATCAAACATGAAGTGGTTCTACCAGTGAGCTTCAGCCACTCAAGTACCAGATTTTTCTTCATAGACAGAAGTCTCCCAAGATCATGGCCAAGCCAACAGTAAGTTTTGTGGATTGAACTCAGGTCCTCAGACTTGGTGGCAGGGACTTTACGTGGTGAACCATCTCATGGGTCTGCTTCCTTCTTTATTTCCTTTTCCTTTCCTTGCTATGCCTGCTTGTCTGTATGTGTACCTCATGTATGCAGTGCTCTTAGAGGTCAGCAGGGGGTGTCAGATCCCCTGGAACTGGAGTTCCAGGTGGCTGTGAACTGACCTATGGGGGAACTAGGAACTGAGCCTGAGTCCTCCCACCTCCACATGTGCTATCCCCTCTCCCTCCCACAAGTAGATAAATAAGTGTAAGAACAAAAAAAAAAAAAAAAGAGAACAAAGATAGAGACATTTGTAACTGAATGTATTGCCGTAATAAACCCAAATAGTACTAGAAACACTGTTG